CATAAAACTCCTAAAAGAAAACACAGGGGAAATATTTCAGGAAGTAGGACCGGGCAAAGACTTTATGAATAAGATCCCTAAAGCACAGGCAACAAAAGAAAAAACAAACAAATGGAATTATATCAATCTAGAAAACTTCCGCACAGCAAAAGAAACAGAGCCAAAAAACAACCTACAGAATGGGAGAAAAATTTGCAAACTATGCATGCAATGAGGGATTAATATCCAGAATATACAAGGAACTCAAAGAACTTAACAGTAAACACAAGTAACCTGATTAAAAGATGGGCAAAGGAGCTACATAGGCATTTCTCAAAGGAAGATATACAAATAGCCAATAAACACATGAAAAAATTCCCATCATCAATAAGCATCAGGGAAATGCAAATCAAAATCACATTGAGATATCATCACATGCCAGTTAGACTGGCCATTATATAAAAGACAGAGAATAACAAATGCTGGTGAGGATGCAGAGAAAGGGAAACTCTCTTACACTATTGGTGGGACTATAAATCAGCACAGCCATTATGGAAAACAGTATGGAGGTTTCTCAGACAACTATAGATAAAATTACCATACAATCCAGCAATCCTCTGCTGCTTATGTACCCAAAGGAATGGAAATCATCGTGTCAAAGGGATAACTGCACTCCCATGTTTATTGCAGCTCTACTTACAATAGCCAAGAGTTGAAACCAACCTATATATGTCCACTGACAGATGACTGAATGAGGGAAATGTGGTATATATACACAATAGCATACTACTCTGCCATAAGAAAAAAGAATGAAATTCTGTCATTTGCAACAACATGGATGAACTTAGAGAAAATTATGTTAAGTGAAATATGCCAGAAAGAGAAAGACTCCATTTCCTTACTCATAAGCAGGAGCTAAAAAAAACTAAAAAACAAATAAATGAAAAAAGAAAGAAAGAAACATGCAACAATCACAATAATCCATCAAACTTTCAAAAGCAAAGAACAGAACTGAGGCCACCAGAGGAGGGAAAAAGGGAGGGGGAACAGGGGTTAGCGAGAAATGGGTAAAGAGCCACAAAAAATGATTATATTGTGTAATGATAAATATAGTAATTA